TTTCAAACTATTCCGCATATTTACCCAGCGTCTTTGTTGCTAGGATACATAAATTTTTATTGTACGTTTTGAGATAAGTGCTGTGAACTTTGGCCATGTTCACAGAGAGTTTCGTCGGAGGAATCTCAGAGCCGGCCCGAAGCATGAGGGAACATCTGATGAAAATACTGATCATTGGAGACGGAAATGTTGGAAAATCTTCGTTTGTTAATCGTTACGTCAACGGGCAGTTCAGCGGAAACTACAAGATGACAGTAGGAGGTATTATTATTACTACTACTGCATGTTAATTTTACTGCAATTACTATAAACTACAACTATAGAAACATTTAGTGGTACTTTTGCCAACTAAACTACTACAACCAACTGCTTCTAATTAACTGTTCCTAACTACTGCCACTTCTGCTACTACTACCACTTCTGCTACTACTACTACTACTAGTGCTACTACTACTACATGTGACAAACTACTACTATGGAAACATTTACTGGTACTTTTGCCAACTAAACTAACATGTAACTACTGCAATCAACTACAACTAATTAACTGCTACTAACTACATTTTACTACTACTGCTACGACTAACTACTACTACTATTACTATTACTATTACTATTACTATTACTATTACTATTACTATTACTACAACAATAACACATCTGCACTCCTAACCTACTGCTACTACTACTAGTGCTACTACTACTACTGATGTGACTAACTAACTACCTACTACTATTACTATTACTATTACTGCTACTACTACTACAATGTTCTGATAAAATGTTTGTGTTTTTCCAGTGGACTTTTCATTGAAGATCTTGCAGTGGTCAGAAAGCGAGAAGGTCAGATTACAGCTCTGGGACATAGCAGGTACAAGCAAATACTACAGTTATTACTATTACTACTTCTACTGCAGTACTTCTAATACTAACACAACTGCTACTTACTGCTGGTGCTGCTTTCAATCACTTGCATGCCCTACAAATGTAAATGTGAATTACTGTGATAATTACAGCTACTTTACATTAACTTTAAATTACTATGACTAAGACTAACAAACTTACTACTATTACTACTACAACACATCTGCTGCGCTCTTAACCTTCCATCTACTACTACTTGCACTTAACCACTACTGTTATCAACACAATTTACACAATTACTGCTTGCTACTAACTACTACTTCTAACCACTATCTAAATACTACTATGCCTATTAATATACTACCAGTAATTAGGCCTACTACTTTCACTAACTGTTACAAGTTACAGCTTACTACCTACAGTATTTCTATGTCTACAACTAGTTAGTACTACTGCTACTAATAACAATCCATTACTACAACTACTACTGTCACTATCACAAGTACTTCTTCAATGTCTACCCTACCTACTACTACTATTTCTATTCCTACTACTACTACTACTACTGTGACTGTGACTAATTACCTTCCCGCTTCTGCTACTACTACTGATACTACTAGTACTACTAGTAGTACTACTAGTACTACTACTAGTACTACTACTGTGACTACTGCCTGCTGCTACTACTACTACTACTACTACTACTACTACTACTACTACTACTACTACTACTACTGTGGCTAATTACCATTCCCACTACTGCTACTGCTGCTGCTGCTACTACTACTACTACTACTACTACTACTATTCCTACTATTACTATTACTACTATTACGACTGCTACTACTGCTACTAGTACTTCTACTGTGACTAACTGCCTACTACTACTACTAGTACTAGTACTAGTACTACTACTACTACTACTACTACTACTACTACTACTACTACTACTACTACTACTACTACTACTACTACTACTGTGGCTAATTACCTTCCTGCTACTACTGCTACTACTGCTGCTACTACTACTATTATTATTACTACTATTTCTATTACTGTTACTACTATTACTACTGGTACTACTGCTACTAGTACTTCTACTGTGACTAACTGCCTACTACTAGTACTACTACTACTATTACTATTTCTATTATTATTACTTTTACTACTATTACTACTTCTTCTTCTCGTGCTCGTGTGTGCAGGTCAGGAGCGGTTCATCTCGATGACTCGTATTTATTACCGCGGCGCTGTGGGCTGTGTGCTCATATTCGACGTGAGCGACTCTTCTAGTTTCCTGAGCTGTCGACTCTGGAAACAAGACCTGGACCTGAAGACCAGACTCCCCAACGGACAGACCCTCCCCTGCATTCTGCTGGCAAACAAGGTCAGGACTAAACCAGGACTAAAACAGCCAGTACTAAACCAGGACTAAGCTTGGACTAAACTGGGACTGAACTAGGACTGAAACAGGGCAGAACCAAGACTAAACTGGGACTGATCCAGGACTAAACCAGGTCTAACCTAAGGCTGAAACCAGGGCTGATACCAGAGCTGAAACCAGGGCTGAAACATAACTGACCGGGTCTGAACCAGGGCCAAATCAGGATTAAACCAACCAGGGCCGAAACCAGGGCCGAAACCAGGGCCGAAACCGAAACCAGGGGCCGAAACCAGGCCGAACCAGGGGGAACCAGGGAAATCAGGATTGAAACCAGGGCCGAAACCATAAACCGGGCCAGGGCCGACTAAACCAGGGCCGAAACCAGGGCCGAACCATAAACCAGGGCTGAAACCATAACTGACCGGGTCTGAACCAGGGCTAAATCAGAACTAAACTAGGACTAAACCAGGGCTGAAACCAGGGCTGAAACCATAACTGACCGGGTCAGAACCAGGGCCATATCAGGATTAAACCAACCAGGGCTGAAACCAGGACTAAATCAGGACTAAACAAGGGCTAAACCATAACTGACTGGGTCTGAACCAGGGCTAAATCAGGATTAATCAAACCAGGGCTGAAACCAGGGCTGAATCAGGACTAAATCAGGACTAAACAAGGACTAAACCATAACTGACTGGGTCTGAACCAGGGCTAAATCAGAACTAAACTAGGACTAAACCAGGGCTTGAAACCTGGAACTAAACCAGAACTAAACCAGGACTGAGACAGGGCCAAACTAGGACTGAAGCAGAGTTAGCCATTAGCCACATCATCTACAAATCACGGTGTTAGAAAAATAAAGCTGCACTGTGAAACATTCTCCATAGAGGCAGATACTAAATGTATCACACTCCACTTGCATGAAATTACAAGTCAAGTCTGTGGAGAGGCAAGCTTGCAGTAATGACACATGCCGTTCAATGTTCAATAGAAACACCCTTAATGAAACAAATGGTTGTGTTTTAGTCGATTATTTGGCTGAAATGTTAAGCAGTGGGGCTTTAACTAAAAAATAAATCAGGTGTAAATGAAAAGAGTCGACAAAATGGTTAAAATTGAGGCATAAAAATATCTCCAGTAATGTAATATTTTTGTACCGTTACCACATACAAATGACTGGGCAGTGAGTCAGAAGCAACTGATTCAACACAGTGACATAGGTCTGGTTTATTTTGGTTGATTTCATATTTTTTTTGTGTTGTGCCTGTAATACTCCACCTGTCAATGAAACATGACTAAGATATCATTTTTAAACCAGAATTTAATGCTGCAATGTGTTTATTTTCCAACAGACTGTACGACAAAAATGTTTTCTAAATGATGTTTCTAAGGTCAAACGCCCATTGTGTAACTTTCTGTCGGACCTGCTTTTCTCCTTGGAGACGTTATTGCTTTGCCTGGAATGTGTCACGGTATGGCATTAAACCTTTTTATCATCACGGAGACCAAACCAAACCTAAGTTACAGGTCAGATCTGTGGAGAGGCGACCCCGCTCACAGTCAGAACGCCTGCTTTTCTAGGTATTTTTGAGCTGTAAAATCACCTGTAATTGCACAAATGTAAGGTAGAGCTGTTTAATGTCATACTGTGGAACATTTGAAGCAGAGCAATGACATTTCCATAGAAACAAGAAGGTGACGGACACTCCAACCGAAAAGTTACATAGTGCACCTTTAAGAGATGCCGTCACTTCTGGGTCCAACCAGAAACATCACCACTGATTTTAAAGTTGTTGTTTTTTTTGTTGTAGTAATAGTGGTGGTGGTAGTAGTAGTATTAGTAGTAGTACTAGTAGTAGTATTGGTAGAGATAATCGTAGAAGTAATCGTAGTAGTAATCGTAATAGTACTAGTAGCAGAACAGCTTTGTAAAAGTAGTAGTGCTGTTAAGGTTTGTAGTGGTAGTAGCAGTAAATGTTTTGTAGTAGTTGTAGTAGTTGTAGTAGTAATTGTTGCCGTAGTTGTGGTGGTAATTATAGTGACAGTAGTCGTAGTAGCTGAAGTAGTAAAGGATTGCAGTAAGCTAATAGTTGCAGTAATGATAGTTACAGTTGTACTAGTGGTGGTGGTGGTAGTGGTGGTAGTAGTAGTAATATGTTTGTACTTGTTTGTGCAGTGTGACCTGGGGAAGCGAGTCGTGTCTGCAGACAGCATCGACAGGTTCAGCAGAGCCAATGGCTTTGTCACGTGGATGGAGACGTCTGTGAAAAACAACAGGAACATCGAAGAGGCCATGAGGTACATAATACACAGAGAAGTATTTAATAGTAGTATGTGTAATAGTTGTGATAGTAGTAGTCGCTGTAGTAGTTGTAGTTGTCAAAACACAGAGAGCTTCTGTCAAATACGGCATGAGGGTCACTGACTTTTGGATCAGGATGTCAAAATGAAATTTTGTGCAAAATTTAAGACATTTTGGACATTAATTTCAATCTGCGGGAGGCGCTAACGAACCAGATACATTTTTTCCCCATTAAGAGGATTTAGGGCAGGGAGTGTAACAATGGTTTCAAATTTCACCGTGCATTTCATATGTGCAAATGGGAGCAATTCATAAAATCCAACGTTTCAAAAAGAGCCCGTAAGACCAGAAACACACTGCAAGTGTATTTCGCCCTCAACCTGTATGAGTAGATTTCAGAAAATAGAATCCAACCTATTTTTTTGACACTCTACGCAAGAGTAAGGCGCATATGCCCATCAGCACCACGAGGCCTGTGGCAGTAGATTTCGTTTTAAAGGAGCCCAGATTCAGAAATTTAATATGTTCTTTGAAATGTACTTTTGAAATCCCTGTGTTTGCTGTGGTCAACTTGTACAGATGGTAAATACAAGTCTATTCACGTTGTTTGACTGTGCAGCTGTTACAAGTGGCTAAACGCACCCAGGCAAGTCTGATCAGCTTTCCCATTGACAGAAAAAGAGCCAGTACAGTGTGCATACGTCCTAATGGAGCAGGAGTGTGGCTGCCCCCTGGTGGAGCAGGCGGCATTGGCATAATAATATTTTTTGCTCATCTTCTCATGATCTACTTCTGTGTCAGATTTCATGATTCTACAGGCAATTTTTGGGGGGGCATTGTTCCTAAATCCTAATGCAGTTTTTTCTGTGTGCGTGTGCTGAAGCGCAATTTAATTTATTTTTGGAAATTAGAAATAGTCAAAAGATAGAGAAGCAGGAGTTTTAATGTTGGCAATTTTTTGTGAGTTTTCACCACTGTTCGCTGGGTGAAAAATAGGTAGGTTGGTTTGAAGAAAAAGATTCTGATACGAGAACAACGTTCAGTTTTTTCTATATAATAACTATACATTTTTGCCAGCTTCTGCTACTTGGGCCTAAGTAAGTAATAGTACCATTAGTAGTACTAAGAGTAGTCGTAGTAGCTAGGCCCTATAATCCTTTATGTGTGTGTGTCTGTGTCTGTCTGTCTATGCATGTGTGTGCGCGTGTGTGTTCACAGGAGACTGGTGCAGGAGATCCTGTCAGTCCAGTCCAGTCCAGACCCAGGCCTGTCTCCTTCTGAAGACCTCATCAACCCACAACAAAACCACAGCAGAGCCTCCTGCTGCTGAGGAAGGAGTAGTATTAGTAGTATTAGTACTAAAGAAGCATGCTAAGAATTGTTCCTTTTTTCTTGTATACATCATATATTGACTGTACAGTGGTAGTAATCGTAGTAGTAGTAGTTACTAAATAAGTATGAATTAAGAATTGTACTGCTTTTTTGTATATACTGTATAATTTCTGTGTATAGCAACAATTGTTGTAGTAGTTAATTAATTGTAGTAGCAGCAGCAGCAGCAGTAGTAGTCAAAAGTGTAGGCATGTATTACATGTATGTAACTGTCATTTCCAGCAGAGGGCACTGTCCACCACTATGAGCTTATATGAACGTGCTTCCATAAAGTAACACTGGAAACACAGTTATAACTGTTGGATGCAGAGAAAGTTGAATAATGTTCATTGGTACCAGGCGGGAAAAATACTAGTAATATTAGTAATAGTACTTGTAGTTTAGACTCCTCCTCCTCCTCCTACTACTACTCCTACTGAATCTTGGCTTCAATGACGTGAGGTGCCTTCTGTGAAGCACTGTGGACAAAGTGCTTCACAGAAGGCACATCACGTCATCACGTTATTCGTGTTGTGTGTTATTTTTGATATCACTGTTCACTCAGATAGGTCTCTGTATAAGTCTCTGCTGCCTCTTGACCAGGACTTGAAAAAGGTTTTTAATCTCAGTGAGATTTTTTCTTGAATAAAGGTTAAAAATGTAAATACATTTGAACTACTGAATTCAATTCTGTGGATACATTATTGCTTTTTAAAAAGTAATTCTGGTTAGCTATCTTTAACAATTATCTCCCATTTTAACTGAATGTCTTCCCTGCTCCAGCCCCCATTTCATGCTACACGCTTGTTCATGACGAACAGCAGCTAAAAGCTACCACGTGTAATTAGATTGACTGACCAGGCTCTGTTGTATTCTCACATATCACCACTAGATGCTGTTTATGTTACTGCAGACTGATAGTGCACCAGCTTTGGCAGAAGAAGACCAAAGAGCATTCTGGATGCACTGTTCGGTGTTGATGAGAGATTCTGTTTTAGAAGTCATTGCTACTTCCTAAAGTTTTCAACTTTTCTTCTTTCTTTCCACAAACTGCCACTAACTGATGTAAAACTGATAAATATTTACCACTATTGCACCAAACAAAGTCATAATTAGAAAAACATGAAACGTCATTATTAGCATTCCTCTGGCGTTCTTAAACATATGAGCAGAGAGCTGTGCAGATTTCAGCCATAGCGACAGGCCTTTGGAGGTGAACATAGCGGCGGTGCTGACAGGCGGCACAGGGATGAGAAAGCCTGTTTAGTGTGAGAACGAGGTGTGGAGCGTGCTCTGTGAGGTTGCCAGATCGTTCCCGCCTCTACCCTCTCCTCCTCCATCTTCAGCATTGCACCATCAGGCCTGTAGACTCAGAGCAGCAGCGAACAGGCACACATGGCGTCCTCGTGCACTACGTGCTGCACATGGCCCTACATGTGAAGACTCCTGATGGAGCACATGTCGGGGACGTGGAGGCAGCCTGGGTTTAGAGGCTTTCAGATGAAAAAGAAAAAGTTTGCCCGTCTCAACTAGGGCCTGACCGATACATCGGTTGGCCAATATTATTGGCCGATATGGGTCGATATTTTTTGTAGGCATGTTATACCTCGTTATAAAACTTAGACCAGACATGTCAAACTCAGGCCCGGGGCCAAATTTGGCCCACGATATGGTCTCGCGGGCCAAATATAATTATATCAGATATGTATTAGAGCTGGCCTGCTGGCTACAGGTAGGCTATAGAGACATTATTGATTTAAAATGTTATTATTATTTTATATATTATGCTTGTTCTGGATTCAGTGTTTCAGCAAAACTATTATTTATTTTAATAAGAAAAGGTTTAACATTACATAAAAGAGAAAACATGCAGATGTTGTTGACATTTTTCAATAAATATTTAATTTGGCCCACGACTTAGTCCCAGTTTTTAATTTCGATCCTCTGTCAATTTGAGTTTGACACCCCTGGCTTAGACTCTCTACGTTTTGTCCATTTAATCCAGTTTAGAGACAGATAAATGTCCTAATACATGGCTCTGCATCAATATTTATTTGCAACGTAAATAAATATTTACTTAGAATTGGTTTGGCAATTGATTTGTGTTGTGTCCTTGGGCAAGACACTGTAGGGTTATGGCACAGTCTTTTGTCCTCTGTGCATTGAATCATCTCCTACAAACTACTTAATCTTTGGTTTGGACTGGTTAAGCTCTGGTTTAATAAACTTGTCTCGTCCTGGTTTAAGTCTTGATCAAATGTGTTTAGTTATGATTTAGACAAAGGTTTAATCCTGGTTTGGTTCTGGTGTAGACCTGGTGAGGCTTAATTCAACTTTGGGTCTCTAGCGCTGTGTACATATAGACTGATCATATTAACTACTCATTTGTATTAATGGAAAATAAGAAAAAACACATGATATGTACAATGGAATGTATATGTTGTAATATTCTTAATAAAAAATGAATGGAAGAGGTGGGAGAGGAGGAAGTGAATCAGAGGCTTGGAAAACCCTCAACAAACTGTGGGCTCAGTGGGCTGGATGAATCGAGTGACACATTTCTGTGTATGACAGGGGTTGGCAACCCAAAATGTTCAAAACGCCATATTGGCCCAAAAAACAAAAACCATACCTGCCTGGAGCCGCAAAAAATTAAAAGCCTTATATAAGCCTAATATGAAGGCAACATAGGCTGTCAGTATGTTAGCTGTATAAGCCGACTATTAAAATGACTAAGTAGGCTACAAATACAAAATGAGCATTGATGATTACACAAACCCCTTTTGCGACCCTCTCATACTCGGTGCGCCGTCTGTAGCCACTGAAATCAGGTGGTTAGTGTTTATTCCTTTGTCATTTAGGCCCCGTTTACATGTACACGGGTATTTTTAAAACCGGAGACATTTCCCTTCGTTTGTTCACATCGTTTACACACAAACGGTGAATTCGCCTCTGAAAATGAATCTTTCTAAAAACTCCGGCTAGAGTGGAGATTTTGGAAAACTGGTTTCACGTTTGCGTGTAAACTGAGATAAATGGAGTTTTAGGAGTTGACGCGCTGAAAGTGCGACCGACGTTTACCTGTTGCTTTGACGACGATGATGGAAGCTTTCAGAGCAGCAGTCGCATTTGTTCTGATCGTGCATAGGAGCACTCAGAAAACAGCAGCATGTAGAACTTTGTACGCAACTCACCGCACATCAGCCCGGAGCAGAAGCTCTGAGCTCGGGCAGCAGCACCAAACACATGGGAGCAGTGAGCACGCAGCCCCTCAAGATGGGGCTGGGGGTCCAGTGTTGATTGTCCGGAGGCTTCGTCCTCCATCTCCTGGTTCCAGACGAGGGCGAGCAAGACCAGCGCGCAAAGAACTGGGTCCGAGTGCTTCAGTGCTGTCATCTGCGCACTGGTTCCTTGCGGGAAAAGTGAAAATACGCTGTGGACCACAGGTCCTCCGCGCTCAACCGCAGCTGGTTCCGAGGTGGTGCAAAGCATCTGGATATAAGCATGAATCCGTTTTGTTCGTTATATATTGTTCTGAGCGTCCGTCTGCGCACGTGTTTTTTTGTTGTTGTTTTTTTTCGGGGAAAGCGCTTCTCAGGTGGAGGCACCGGACACCACCCTCCACTTCAGTTCATCTATTTGTTCTGCTGAAACACTTTTCATGTGTTTACATTTGCACACAGCTGATGGATCAATCCATGACCAGAGATGAACGAGGGTTTTACCCCTAAAGAAACCATATTAAAACAACAATTTAAAAAAATCATTCCTTTTCCATTTTCTCATTTTTGAAAAAGCTCCAGGGAGCCACTAGGGGAAGTGCTAAAGAGCCGCATGCGGCTCTGGAGCCGCGGGTTGCCGACCCCTGATCTATGAGTTAATTTCATATTCATTAAAGGGGCACTATGTAATATTGAGGAATGTCTGAGAAACATACTGTACGTACCTACTTACCTTACACACCTTCTTTTTCCCAATGTTTTTCCATAAGTTTACCACTACATTTTTTAATGTTAATACTACATTTTACATACGTACAGAAGACATCAAATATATGATATGATGTGGCTCTCTGGAATTTCTGTTTTGTAAAAACAGCTGAACAGAGGAAAAAAGTCGGATGCCCCTAACTTATTGAGTGCATGAACTCCCGTGCAGGTGTACTCTTATGAGTTTGGGTCAGATACATAATAGTTTTGAGAGTTTCCCACATATCCAAAAAATATTCTAAATTTTCAGCAAGTTAAATGTTTTTTTTCAAAATAAAAAAAATTCTAAATGTGAAATTCATCAGCATTCATAATATGATCAAGCTGTATGATTTTGTCACACATTGAATATTGTTAGTTTGTTAGTTTATTTATTAAATGAGACAGGGACAGTGCACAATCTATATTAACCTTAACAGGAGAGATGCATTTTACCAGATTGTAGCACCAGTGCTAATTTCCACCTGTAGTCTCTGGGCAGGTTCATTGGTTTTGTTTAATTGACCTTAGCTATCAGCTATTCTTCCTGGAGACCTATATAGCATGCTTTGCATTACAAATTGGTCACTCGAATATTAAACTGTGTTTACTGTTTGTTAGTGAATGCATATTTACATTATATGTTCATTCATATGAGTTGTCCCTTTAAATAAATAGATTTGGAAAATGAAACAAATGATTCCTGTTCCATACTGCTGCATCGGACTGCTCCTGTCTGCTGAGAAGCCACTTCAGACTGTAATGTTTTAAAATACAGTCATCAGTATAAACAGTGGCTGAATGGTGCCATACACACTGATGTGGTACAGTAATCAAAGTATTTATTCACTTTCCAAACCATAAGAGTGTACCCTGTGTACCAAGCATCTCCTCTGGGGTTTGAACCTGTGATCTTCCGGTTCATGGGCAGGCGATACCAACACATCAGGCAGTCCAAGTGTAGCCTGTGTCACAATTAGTACAGTACAGGGCTGATACTGTCATAAATAGGGCTAGGTCAGAAGGTCTGAGTTCAACTCTAGGACTGGAAGGAGAGAGACTGAGACTGGAGTTAGGATTTAATGGTACATAAATAAAAGACAAACAGACACCCAAAGGCCATAATATATCCACAAATAAATTCACTGTTATAAATTCAGCAAGTTCAGAAAAGGACATTAAAAAGGCCAATCAAAAACCCACACAGGATCAGTTCAAACTAAGTTTGGACCTTAAAGTGCTTTAAATACACGACAATGATAAATATTTAGCATCTCGACATAAACTGTAATGTAATATAAAATGTACATTTTTAGTGTCCTCCACCAGGTTCTGACTCCTCCAAAAGTATTTAAAACTGTATATATATATATATATATATATATATATATATATATATATATATATATATATATATATATATATATATATATATATATATATATATAT